ACACACACACACACACTGTGAATTGGACCCTTTCCACCTTTTGCCCAGTCAGACAGTGTTGCTGATGGTGAAAACAGCAGAAGGAATACCAATGAGTAAGACCAGTGAGTGGGACCACTGTGCATGTACCTGTATGTGTCTCTGTGTATGCATTATTCAGACAAGCAGAATGCAGGTTGAAATACTTGCATGGAATTCCTAAAACATGATACAAGTAGATTCACAATTGAATTCCCACAACAAACGCAGCGTTCCCGCAGTGGATTTATGGGAATTTCTGAACATCTGTACATATATTTGTTGCAAAATAGTGCTGCCTGACCTACAGGTTACACTGTGGAGAAATTCTGGATTCGAGAGACATCTGATCTCATCACAATACAAAGGAGATGAAGAGGATTTGAATGAACATTTGCCTCACTGTAGGTTAATGGACCAATTTTTGGGGCAAATCACAGCCACTGTCCAAGCAACAAACACAAAACATTTGTTGTTTTTGTTATAAGAGCAACAATACTAAAGAAAAATAAACTCCATTAGATTGCTACTGGACATAAAATCTCCCTCTATACAGCCAAGACTACGAGCAGAAAAAACAGGCAAGGAGAGGTCTGCTACTTTCAAGGAATTAGCTAGAAAACAAACAAGCCTTTTACAGCTTGAATAAATCTTAGAAAGGAGACGCTACAAAGAAGAGTAAAGGTGACTCTTTTCTGCATAAGAAGTACATCAGATAACGCGCACTCAGTCAGCCACTAAATCAGTGGTGGGCATCCTAATTAGATTGGCCAGGAAGACACACAATGTCCGTCTCTTCCGATCCCCCCCCCCCTCCTCTCGTCTCTCCCCCAAAACTCTATTTGCATGCAAAGACGTGCTACAGACACACAAGAGCGGAGGACTGCGAGGAATGTTCCTGATTCCACGTTCTCTGTCACATGCCGAGAGGGACACAATTGCGAGAATGCCAAAGGAGCGTCGTCACTGGGATTTTAAACAGGTTACATAGGTGTGAGGAAGGACACGCCTTTAGAAACCTGTGTGTTCACGTTAGGGCGGAGGCGGGACATCCCGCCATGTGACCGCGTACGGGCCTGACATACTGTGTCATGGGACAGGAAATATTGCCTTTCCAAAAGCAAACATGTGAACACACACACACACAGGCCCCGCGCACACCAACAGCCCGACTGGTTCACCACAATGACGTGAGCTCTACTGACATAGAGGAAGAGCCATTTCTCTGCCACTCAGACGCAGCACCTTTGCTACACACAATTAAAGGAAACTATGATCACTATGGGGAAGTAACCTGAGCAGGGGCTGGTGAAAGTCTACACTATGTAAGAGATTTGCACACTTTTGTCTCACCTGCGATGTTAAATGCACTTTCTCTCAGACTCACCCACAAAGAAAGAGAAAGAGAAAGAGAGAGAACGAAGTCGATTACGATACAAACACAGTCCAGAACTTGAACTTATTAATCTGACACCTTGACGTTACAACACATCTTATCTCTAAAAGCTATCTACAACAGGTGATGGTGCCACATTCTTTCCGGCTGAGATAACTGGGTGACGGACTTTCTACTCAGTTACTGAGTAGCTAAAGTCAAGGGGATGATATAATTGTCAAAATCAGCCTATACACGGTCTCCTTCTCAGTCTAACACACTGTTTCATTGATAACCATAATCTAACCACTATCTAAATGCTAGCAGTATTTGACTGTGTTGAGCCACATGGGAACATCCATCCTTCTGATGCTCTGGTAATATAATTTATACCTGCGGAAACTGCACAAACGGTTGATTAACATTCAGATGTAGCAGCCGGTGAGGATGGCCTGTCCTGCAAGATTATGAAGAGGAGGGAAAAAGAGCAAATGTGCAGAAGAAATGTGAGAATACGCTTTATTGGGTAATGGGTGTTGATGCAGCTGCAGATGCCTTACTTAAAATGTGGCTACAATCTGTGGAGCTACAGACACGGTGCACAAGGAGGACACACATATAAAAAAAAAATGAGTCAGCTGAATGCTGAACGTGTTACGTAATATGAGTCTCTCTCACACAATATTGAGTCGTGACATTGCAACTACTGATCCTGACTGCAGCCACACTGGGTAACAGCAGGCTACTCCCACTGCTCTCTCTCTCTCTCTGCTCAAGATTTTTGTGACTTGCATTAAAAAAAAAAAAAAAAAAAGAAAAAGGAGGACTTATAGCTCGCCATGTCCTCGGCACCACATTCTTCTCGGTGGACACACTTACCGAAAACAAACCGGGAAAGGTTCAGCGTTGTTATGTAATGCCAGTGCAAAAAAAACACAAAAAACCCCTAAATAATCATTGCTTTGCCCTGCTTTTCCATTAATGGCTTTCGCAGCTCCATAACTATTAACTCCACTCTGCCAAAGCAAAGGGGGCAGCTTTGGTGCGTTTGAGGGGGCTAGGTGACAGCGGTATTTTCGGGATTTCCTGGGTGATTTCAGGTGTGTCAGGGTTGAAGTTAAAGGCGTACTACATGAGGAAGAGGAGGAAGAGGAGGAGGAGGAGGCCTAGGGCAGGAATTAAAACTTGTTGTTTGCCCAAATGTCACCGTCCCAAACGGGACATGGTCGCCCGCTGCCTGCCCTCCCTCGTCGCCTCTGCTGTCAAAACAAACCAACCTCTTCTTCAGCTAGAAGTCTCAAATGATTCCCAGGGAAAACACACACACACACACAACCTGCAAAATCACAACATTAAAAACAACTGTAGGCCACAAACACACCGTTACACCTTTAATCTCCTCTCGAGACAGCAAACACGGTGCAAGTGAGCTATATTATCTTTTTAATTTTCTTTTTTTTCTTAGCCTGCTATCATACAACAATTTAATGAGAGGAGGGGGAGAGGGGGAAAAAAAAAACTTACGATGCATTTCCTGCCAAGGTGGTTGAAAAGGCATTCATTTTCCTGCGGTGTCAGTAGTATCGAACCGACATTTGTTTGCCGCCGTTGCGACGGATGTCCGCTCATTATTGGTGATCAATGTATAAAGTATGCAGCGACTGTAACTCGTTATATGGGAGCCAAAAAGATACATAAACAATCCCTCGGTCATCCGTGGCCTTCCTCCGACCCCCTCGCACCGGTTCGGTTTTTATCCCGGGGGGCCTGCGTGAGTGGGGTGCCGCAAAATGTGTGCGGGTTAGGAGAGCAACGCGACGTCCCGCTCCTCTTTAAAATGAGGTGAAAACTGCAGCGACTGAGCGAGGACGGAAATCGGTAAAAACTTTCCTGGGAAGTCCGGCCGCCAGAGAGCCCAGAGCCAGATCCATCCAACATGGCAGTGTTAGGACGAGTCCACTATCTGGGAATGGGGGGCGCCCGTTTCCCAGCGGTGTCCCACATAATCACCAAAGGGGGAAAAACAGCAAGGGAAACGGTGTGAAGTCTATTAAAAAGGTATTTTTAATGTGCAGGTATGTTCTGGTAAAATCCGCGGTGAAGGGTTTTCCACTTTACAAATTCCAGTTCTCAGCTCACTCTCCACGGAGATGGTCTGGTCCTGTCCGCCCGTGGCTTTTATGACAGGAATGTGTGCGAGTGCAGAATGGGAGGAGATAAGAAATGAGGTCCAAGTTGCCAAGATAATAGCATACAATGCTCCTTGTGAGAGGAATTATTGAAGTGAGAATTAACGCTCGAAGATAAGACTCACACTTTAAATGAACACTGTAAGAAGTTCATAAAAGAACCGTGGAAAATTACCATTTCCCTCTAATGATAATAATGTGCTATTTTATTGAAGTCAGAGAGGTTAGGGTCATGGCTCAGACACAGAATTGTTATCAGGACCGATTTCCTACATGATAAACACTCCCTGGAATATAAAATGTTTCCTCCCCTGAACTGAAATGCTACTGGTTGTCTCCTTTCATTGCAATAAACTATAAATAGCCTATAAATAAAGTGAAGTAGAATTAAGACTGCTCCAGTTACTATACATAGCCTCAGGGTTAAGGCATATGCTTCAAAGTGTATGTTGCTGTGTGTTTCTCCAGAATCCTAGTACCATAAAACGAAAACACCGTTATTGTTCTTCATGTACAGCACAGTGTTCAATTATTACAAACCATTTCCTTTTTTCACACCTGACATTGAACTCTTCTCAAATAGCGCTTAACAATTAAACATGCAAATTTAGAGGCTATATTATGACTAGCCTTGAACAAGGGCAGCATATACGGCTCATACTTATTTTAATAATGAGCCTGAGGGGGTTTGTAGTCCTCTGCAACATGCTCTGTCAGGCTCATAAATGGGTGTTGTTTGCGGGATGGCAGTCATTGAGAGGGTGGTACAAAGAAAAGACTTTCCCTTTGTGATAAATTCACTCCAGAAGTGTTTCTGCTATTGCCCACATGTGCGCTGCTTGAATAAAAAAATGTACACATTTTGATGTAATTATATTGCACAGTCCTACATATAAAGCAGCTTCATGTCAGACATCGACAGCAGGTCCGTGCTTCTATTTACTCACTGTGGTGTGGAATGTTTGGAATCAAAAGTGCTTTGATTTGCTATGTGCACATCATGTACAAGGAATTTGACATGGCTATCAATGCTGCTCAAACATATACAGCTATTAAAGTATAAATTATGTACGCCTGTAACAGACTTTGTGAAGTAAAATTTCTTGTCATATTATTTATGTAGTTGATGAATAAAGGGATTCTGATTTGATTGATGCAGAGATTCACTTGAAATAAACTCTTCTATAATCTTAATGACCCAGATTACAAGCACTGTGAGACTCTCATATATTCATCATCAATGTAGACGTCATATTCAAATGCCACTCTTGTTACTCAATGTCTAATCTTTGCCCACCTTTATTTCACTATGGATGTTGTCAACTGCCAAATAATGTAAACACAGTCCATCAGACTGGTGTGAAATGTCACCTGGCGCTAAATTATTCAAGCACAAAATTCATTAAAATTGTAGCCAAGCTGTCAGTCAACTCGTAATAGAGAGGTTTCTTGTGGACTTTCATTTAAAAAAAAAAATCTTGTCTTCTCCAATCATTACACAGTTTTGATCATGGCAAAAGCTGTTTAGTGTTTCACCTTGATTGCAGAGATTCCTGTGTGCGTATCTGTATACATCTATATCTGTTTGCTTGCTCGTACACACGAACATGCATGTAGTCATTTGGGTGTATGGGAGTGTATGTACTGTCATGTGTGTCAGAAACTCAGGCCATTTCCCCCTTTTTCTTGCTCAGTCAGTTTGGTGATAGATAAACTTCCTGTGGAGCTGACAGAGATGACAGACCCAACCTGTTGTGAATAACACTGCGGAACACAGTCCATACATTCTTCATTTTAGTTAGTATGAATATGGATATAGCAACTTATTTTGCAATGTAATACTCTGTATATTTGGATTATGGTATTGACCTACATATCCTTTCTCTTACTGTTTTGGTAATATCTAACCCCTATCTATGCTTTAAGATCTTCCAAAAAAAAAAAAAAAACCCAGACTTAATTAGAGCGTAAACTTAACATGTCCACTACATGCCCTTACACTTACTTCCAATTACTTCTACCTGGTTCAACCTATTTCCCTGCTCTTCAGCAGAGTTTTGTCTAACTTGAAAAACCCGCCCAACGGGTAGGGAAACACCTCAGGACACTCACAGCATCACTCCACCTAGCCTTGGTTTAGCGAGGTATAGAAATGTTAGAGATGACTCACCCTGAACAAGCAGTCATAAGAAGACTTCATGCAGAAACATGAAAAAATTGGCATTTTGAAGCAGTGAACGAAAGAAGAAACAAGCAGATGGACAGTGAGTGGGAAATAATTGGAAGGGAAAGTGAGCTACTTTTTTGATACTATTGATTCGCAAGGCACAAAACCTCGACTTTACAGTGAATATAAGAGAACTTTCTAGTTGAATTAGTTGGGCTTCTAAACTTCTCAGCTTGTATTGTGGACTTCCCTGTGCAAAACCCCCAACATTTGCAATGGCTGTCATAATGTAACTAGATAATTACAGGGAAGTAAGAAAGTAAATTGTTCACCCACTGACATATGGAGGTGAAGGACACAGATGCCCTATTCAGACAAATTCAGTGATACTAACCGCCAGTACTGCTTGGTATGCACTTACTCACACAATAACAAGAAAACTGAACTGGGAACAGATACTGTTGCTTGTTTAAGATGGGCCTTACTGACATTTCTGAGCAGTGTGAACAAGAATGTGCAAGGTGTGACCATGAGCAGGGAAGGCTTCATTTAGGTATGCCCGTATGCTTCATGTCTGTTTATGTTAATGTGTATTTAAGGAATGGAAAACTGTATGGGGTTATTTGTATCAGTGCGGACACACCTTCTGGGACCCTTTCGTTTGACCCACTTTCCACAAACAAAAGAAAATTGAGGTTATAGGAGAAGGAGGGAAGAAGACAACATGAATATTATATTTTGAATTCTGGAGGAAGACATCCCCTACAGGCTGCTGTATGAATATTTAATAACGTTGGCCTTTTTCATATCTCCTCAGCATGTCCTACACTGTGGATTTTTAAAAATATGACAACAGGGTCACCAAATAGACAAGTAAGAGAGTAAGAGAGGCAAGATTAGGCATTAGATGATTATAAAAGTTCACAAACATACACAAATACATACATACATACTGACTGGTTCACAGAAAAAGGGTCAGAGCCCAACCTGGGGACAGAACGCTCAAGGAGTTACAAGATACTGTAAATGTGAGGGGTTACAAGATGATCAACAAGACAGAAAGTAAAACAAATAAAAAGTTCCTGCTATCCTAATTCATCTACTTTTTAAAATAAATTCTCCAATATTTGCTTTTTTATTGTAAAACACTGGATGCTTTATCTCTTCAGACCTCTAATGACTCCTATGAAATGAATGAAACAATGAAACAATCTGAAAGGGGAACAGCAACCTTTGGTTAAAAGTCTCATAATTTATAGACTTCCCTTTAAATGGCCGCAAGCCAAAAAAGGGAGTCACTGGATTACACCATCAGCTGCACTATGTTATAACATGTTACATATTTCTTTTGGTGTTGTACTCCTCCTTTAGGCAAATATGTGTATTAACAGAACTGCTTACACAATAACACCTGAGAAATAGAGATTAATTGAACAGCATTTGTTGAAACCTGCACAGCTTTACAGTTTAACCACAAGATGGCAGCATTACACCAGCTATTACATCACTGATTCTGGCTGGTGCACTCAGCACATTGGTTACTGTATCAAATTACATTTGCCTAACATGTTAGCCAAAACACAATACCCTATTGTACATAATTCCACCTGCATACATCGTAACAAACAATTAGAAGAATGAGGAGATTGGTGAATTTGAGGTGAAGAGTTACTGCTCTTCTTTGGCAGCAATTTGGCAATTTGGCATGTGTTCTCCTGCCTGAACAATGGAGGCTGCAGTGTTACAGTGTCATTGTTTGGGAGAAAAACAATGCAGCTCACACAGCTATGCAAAGCAGTGAGTGGACATGTACTTAGGGTTTGTTGGTTGGAGCTTCCTTTAAGATTCTGTGCTGTGGTATTTCTTGACAATGACCAGCTATTATGCATGTCTGGGAATAAGGAAGTCTCATGTTTCTTTTTTTCCTCAAAGTGTAAACCATACCTGTTCAGCTTGAGATTTGATCTATCAGCAGACTGCAGGGTGCCTACCAGTCAAGAATGATAGAAAAAGATAGAAGGGGGATGAATACACTTGCATCAGTATATCAAATATTTTTGTTTTCTCCCAATAAATCCATGGTTAAAACTTAAGACTTTAACACAAAACCTTCTGGTTTTATTGAGCAGTTGAAAGTACTGCAATAATCTAATGTAATCCAATCTAATGTAATCCAATCCAATCTAATCTAATCTAATCTAATCTAATCTAATCTAATCTAATCTGGTCTATAGTGAAGTGGTGGAGTGCAACATGTGCAGGTCTTTTAATATTAGTGTATTTTCTGTATTTGTAATAAATATAACTGCCATCAAAATTCCCTCTCTCTCTTTTCTCTGGATATAATGTATCAAGGGACAGAGTACGAGAATGTGTTGGGCGTGAATTATAGTGTAACTACTGTAACACCACATTGTTTACTTAACTAAAGTTTACTTCTAGAATTATTCTAACAGGAACACACACCACTCTCCTAAAAACAACTAGTAGGGTCAAAGGTCACTGTCCCACTTTTCACACTGTGTCACTAACTTGTGAAATAACCACCACCATTTGGTTTTACATGTTCCTGACCAGACACATAAACACATACAGGGTAAACAGTCCAATGTATAAATCCCAGACAGTGTACAATTACTTGTAACATGGAGGTGAAAAGTGCTATTATTAGATATATTTTAGTTATATGTGTCTATAAACTAGAACTCATTTGTTTAACACTTACACTCTCATAGAAAGTGCTGTTATTAATGTACCTGTATCTGTATACAACTCCTCTCTTGGCACCTAGGTGTCAAACCTTCCTGTCTCCTAACTGCTGGGGGAGAATGTAAAGATTTTAGCTGCTGACTGGTAGCATGCCTAATATTATGCAATTATTTTTCCAAAAGTTCCATTTGCTTGAATCCTTGATGGGAAAGAAACAGCAGCCAGAAATGTGCTGCATAAAGCATTACCAAATAAATATTGCATAAAAAAGTGGAAAGCGGTCCTGGATCTGACCTATTTTTCTTTTTCAACATGTCGCCTTATGGAGAAGGAATATATTTAATCTGCCTTACTGCACTATGACTATAATATTGAACCCACCACCCTCCCAATCACAATAATTGCTTTTACTGTACAAGCTGTCTTAGGTCCAAAGAGGATTACATCAACTGTGTGTGTAGTTTTGAAATATTGAGGTATGAATGTCATCTTATTGAGAAAATAAAAATCCCATTCCCTTCCATTATTATAATTTGATTGTTCATCCCATCCCAGGTGACGAGCGCTAGCATCAGCACCAGTGGAATAACAGTCTAAGCTCTATTCTGATGCCCAACTCAGTGTCTTTCACTATGAGGACGTGAGTGCGTGCTCCACAACCTCACACCCATGTGTGCCTTCCTCCTCTGCTCCCAAAAGTCAAACTTGGCACAGGGCGATCAAAACAAGACGTTTTCTGTGAGGCAAACAACGGAGAGCAGAGTGCATCCTTGTACCCAGCTCTGCCCACCATGCCTCTCCTCCCCTACCTATATCAGACAGTGTCTTTTTGTGGGGATACACTCACTCTCTTCGCTCGAGTGCACACATCTTATGCTGAGGCGGTTCTACTGAAGGCATGTCCAGGTAGGTGTCTTTTTATGTCTGTAAGTTAGTTTTGAGTTGGTATATTGTGGTTTATGAATGTCATGGTGGCCTCATCTTGGTTTAGAAATGCTTAGATTTGAGAGATTTGTGGTTTGTGTTCGGAAAGGTTGACAAATTGGATTAGAAGTGTGGGGAGAAAACTCTGAATTATATGAGAGAAAAGGAGAGACTGCAGATACTACTCATAGAGCCAATCGGACAAGTAGAAAAGTCAATGTATAATTTTAGCTCTAGACCTTCTTTACATACAAAAAAACATATTCCTATGTGCTATGAATATCTCAAAAAAGGAGCATTGTCTTGCTTGTTTCATTTTAGCATCATTGGCTAACAATATGTACATATTTAGGATATTAGACTGCGGTGTTTGATTTTGTTTTTCTCCAGCCAGGAGAAAGGATGGTTTCAGTCACACAGAAGAGCAGAAGCTGTGTGCTGCTGCTTCTCTCACTCGCCCCATCAGTCTTCCCCTCCCTACCCATCTCTATCCTCCCTGCTCTCACCATCTCTGTCTGGCCTGTTCTTTCATTATCTGTCCTGACCCCTCCTGCTGGTAACACAACCATCTCAACCATCATTTCCGCCGTGTTTACCACTCCTGCATTCCTAAAATCATCCACCTCCACCATCAGCCCAACGTCTCCGACAAAAGCCTTTATCACAGCTCTGTATTCCTCGAAACCAACGTCAGCTCCCTCTGCGATGTCAGTAGCGCTTGCCGACCAAACATCCCCCGGAGACCTCCTCGTAACCTCACCCTCAGCTGCTACAAAAACAGTTTCTCCTCAGTTTGGCAAAAAAGCCTCTCTGAGCACAGATCCAGTCTATTGTCACCCTGCATGTCACCTTCCTCCTAAACTCCTAAAACACATTTCCCCTAATATCTCCGGTTGGCTGCCTCACCCCTGCAAACGTCTGGCTTTATCTCTCAAGACTATAGCACCACCTCTGCACAAAAACCTTCCATGTCATTTGTCCAAAAAGACTCTCTACCCTGTGTCTTCTGATAAACTTCGCACTACTAAACTATTTCCACCCTCCAACTCAACTATCCTTCCAAAAAGTTTGCCATCTTCCTCTCCACCCAAAACTGCTTCACACAAGCTTCTTTCTCCTGTTTCAACGTCATCCTTTCCCACAGCATTCTTGCCTTTAACCTCTGGAACATCGCCACCTCGTCTTGCCCCCGTCCCTCTTCCCAAAACCTTGGCCTCTCATCAGCCCCGACCACCTTCCTCACTCCCCCACACCACAGGTCCGCTGTTCGAGCGCCATCCTTTCATTGTTAGTTGGAACATCCCTGATCTGGTGTGTAACAGATACAACATCTCACTGGACACCACAGCCTTTAAAGGAGTGGCCACACCTGCTAAGGTAAGGGAACAAAGATTTTAATGTTTTCTGTTAGAAATTAAAGTTAAACTCTATGTTATTAATATTAAATTAGCTGCAAAACACAAGCTGTGATCAAACTGCAAAATATAATATGTAACCTTCCAAATCTCTGCTGAGAAGCTCATTTACTTTACATAAAGCTATCATGCATTAATTAGAGCTATTATGAGGATTTGTGGTCTGCACAATGCCAAGACAGTAAAAAAAGAGGAAGGAGGCCATTTTCACTGGTGGTTATAAACCTGCTCCTCCTCTTCAGAATGTCATGTCATACTTATTTAAAGGGAAGTTGATTCACTTTGTCATGCTTCTGCTGCAGGTCCCAGGCCAGTTCCTGTCTCTGTTCTACACTGACCGTTTGGGTCTTTACCCACATGTGGACCTCTCTAGCGGGAAACAGTTCAATGGCGGCATCCCTCAGAGAAGTAACCTAAAAGCCAGTATGAACAAGGCCAGAGCAGATATTAACTATTACATCCCATCCAAGTGAGCCTCCCTCACATTCAAAAATCATGTTGTTTGACACATTTGAGGCTGATCTGTAAACTTTTCTTCATCTTGCTGCCTTTCCATCCAGGACAAGCCGAGGCTTGGCAGTGATAGACTGGGAGGAATGGCGCCCCCTATGGGACAGGAACTGGGGCACTAAGAAAATCTACCAGACTTTATCTGTGGCCCATGTTATGCAGACAGACCACTTCCTCCCAATGCAGCAGGCCACAGAGAAAGCCAAACAACAGTTCCAGGTCAGAATTTACTATGCGAAGAATTATAATAGAATTGATATAGTTCTGATCAACTATTAAATATTTATGAATAACTCTTCTCCACCCCCCCCCCCCATTTTAGGTAGCAGCTAAAAGTTTCATGTCAGGGATGTTGGCAATAGGCAGAGCTATGAGACCCAACTATCACTGGGGCTTCTATCTATTTCCTAACTGTTACAATTATGGTTGGGAGAAGCCAGACTACACAGGCCAGTGCTCCAAGGAGGTGAGAAGGCAGAATGATGAGCTGCTCTGGCTGTGGGCGTCCAGCACTGCCCTCTACCCCTCCGCCTACCTGCAGGTTGGTTACACCGTTATCCCAAATATTATTTCCAGTATTTAACTTCCTCAGATTTCTTTTCTCCCGCATCCTTGCACTGTTTTTAGGTCTCTCTGGCAGACAATCCCAGAGCCGCCCTGATGGTCAGAAACCGTGTGCAGGAAGCTTTGAGAGTATCTGCCCTGCCCAGACGGAGTGGCACTACTGCACCCGTGTTTGTTTACATGCGACCTGTCTTTGTCGACCAGAACAGACGCTTCCTCAGCCAGGTAATTTAAATGTTAATTTGTTTAATACTGCATTCTCAGATGTCTTATGTAATTGTATGAAGCATGAGATGTCATTGGGAGAACTAATCTTACTCTGTAATACAATAATTAAATCTACAATTCAAACAGATGACATTTTTGAAACGACCATACACTTGACTAGATTAGGTACATCTTAGGTTACTTCTTCCCCACAGCAGTGAGGCGTTTCCAGCCTGAGGTCCAGTTTTAAGAGGAGTTTGGTTTCTTGGTGTAACAACACCCTGCTCAGGTGGTGACCCTCACCTGTAATCCTTACCCCTCGCTTCTCACCTTTTCAGGAAATAAGAACAGAGTAAATGTCTCTGCTCCATGCATGTGCACATAATTGTTGTTTGTCTCATTTGTGAATGCCCGTGCCAGTTTCTGTGAATCTGTGCAAAAGCAATAATGAACATGTTTAACCATTTGTGTCCAGGTAGACTTGGTCAGCACCATTGGCGAGAGTGCAGCCGTGGGAGCGTCTGGCGCTGTGCTGTGGGGGGCCAGCGCTGACTATGATGACCAGGTAACATCACACTGCAGACCTCCACTGGACTACTGAAAGACATGACAGCGTACTGATGGCAGGTAGTCAGACCAAAGACAATGTGTTCAATTAGATGATATTTGAGACTGACTGACAATACCTCAGTGGCTCAGGTACTGATGGATTGGTGGGTTGTGCAACAGTATTAGTTAATCCATTGCAGGAAAGCTTGATGATAGTGACTTTCACTGGATGTTTAAAGTCTTCTGAAAGATGTAAATTCAAGTTAGATGGTTAGACATATTTACTCTGTATTATTCAGTGCATTAGATAGTGATTCTATGATAATATATAATTTTTTATGTCCTAAACCTGCCCTGTTTGATTTAATTTCAGCTAATGAATGTCTTTATTTACTTAACCTACACACAAATCTGTAAAAATAACATTCTTTTAAAGATGCCTCTTCAATATAAGGCTAGAGCCAGCAGCCAATTACCTTAGCTAAGCATAAAGACTGAAAGCAGGGGGAAACAGCTAGTCTAGCTCTATTTAAAGGGAACAAAATAGTTATAGTTATAGTTTGTCTGTCAAAGCTGTAGAAATAACGAAAGTGTAAAAACAACAAGTTGTGGTTTTACTGAAGTTAGCTTCTGGGTTATTTCTGGGCCGGGTGCAGTGACTTCCTCAAAAAACAGTCTAGCACAAAAGTGTAAACTTGTTTTTTGTTTTTCTGTCTTTATGCTAAGTTAAGCTAACAGTCCCCTGGCTTCAGCCTCATATTGAACATACAGATGTGAGAGGGGTATTGATCTTTTCATTTAACTCTTAAGAAAGCCAATTAGAGTATTTAGTAAAATGTCAAACTATGTGTTTAATCATAATATGTAGACATGTCAACATATTTCAGGGCTGTTGTCTTGCTGTGATGTTCTGTTTCAGACATACAGTATTTTATATACATAGTTGAATATACAGACTGTAATTTAACTTTTGAATGCTCTTATTGTTCTTCCTGTTCCTTCTTCCTCTCTCCTTCCTTTGCTCCTCAGACTTCTTGTGAAGCTCTCTCATCCTACCTCTCCTCCACCCTCAACCTCTACATTACCAATGTCACTGTAGCCGCCCAGCTGTGCAGCAGCTTCCTGTGTCGAGGGAATGGCCGCTGTGTCCGAAAAAACTACAACTCCAATCACTACCTCCACCTAAACCCTGAGAATTTCAGGGTCATGCACGTTCAGAACCGCTACCTTGTCCTAGGGAGACCGACCATCGCAGACCTGAAGACACTGAGCAGAAGATTTACCTGTCAGTGCTACAAAGGACTGAGCTGCTCTCCCAGGACATACGGAGAGCTCGCCAAGGCCCTGATGTTTAGTGTGAAGCAAAGGCTGTACCAAAAGGCTCACACTCTGCATAAAGCCACGTTGGATGATACGCAACAAGACAGTATCACAAAAGACAATGTTAAAAAGAACTTGAAAGTTTAGCTTGTAATCAGAATGTTTTTACTGCCCTGAAGTGCCTTTTTTTTCTTCTAGGAAACACACCACTGTACATTCAGACCTTGGAACTACTCAGTTCAGTCATAATACAGTGCTGCACACCTGGCATGTTTAGTCCACAACCTGATTTGCATTTTGGGTGACTGAAGTTAAAAGTATGCAGGCTTTGCCCATCTGGAGCACAAAAGCAAAATTGCCATCAAATGCACTGTTATTGAACCTGAAGCTACAGGCTTAGTTAAGGAGTTTATAACTTGCTTAATGACTATTCTCATCTGGTCTCTGTGTCCCTGGTCTCTACAACACAGATTTTCTGTAAGACTTCAGGGACACCATCAACCATTTTGGCCTCAGCTCACCCTGTTTCATTTTTATGTTATTTGTTTCTTACCACAAATAAATGTTACTGCACTGAGTGACTTAGTGCAACTGATCATCAGGAAGATTGCCAGAGAACAAGACTATAATCTCAAATCAAACTAATACTGTGCTATATCACGTATGTAATACCTGTGAAAATACTATTTCCACTGTGCATTTGTATATTATTTGACTGTATATGTAAATAAATGAAAAGAGACAGGCAGCAACAGTGTGGTTGGTTCTGTGTTTAACTTGACGTCACCATACAGAGAAAAGAGGATGACTGGGTATTGAGTGAAGAGCTGTTAAAAGTCTCAGCCTATTTAGTTAATTTACATATACTACATTCTTATTTTATGTTTAAAATATTAGGTACATAAAGCACATAAACAAATGAAAAAATCACTCACTCACACTCAAGCAGATGTTTTTAAGCACATGTGTGGGTATCAATAATGAGTGTACTAAACCAGTAAGCCATGACAGTGTGGCATTGAGCCAGCATGCACAGTACCGTGACCCTGAAACCAAAGCAGCAAAATGGAAATTAGCCATAAGTTTGTATTAATCATACCTGTGCTTCCACTACGGTAGAATGTCAAAATGTCTGCTGTGAAAAAAGACCAACTGACATCTCCCTGACACTGTTTTGTTGTATCAGTTAGGGCAGGACAGTTTCCACCTTTGCCATTTCTATTTGCACTCAGACTTTGTTGACCTAAGCTACTGTAATTCCCATCTTTGCTACACCCAGCTTTGACATGGGCAGAGGTCTAATCAGATAAATGAAAACACCTGTGAGGGTGACAAGGCCTTAATATCCGCATTAATCGATTTTTAGGCCTCTAGAGGGCAGAAGACCTCCACGTTTACTACCTTGAAAGGATGTTTTCGGCTAGCTAACTTGTTGGCACGCAGTTACATTCATTTGGGGATGTGTTTCTGGCCACCAGGGGAATAGAAATCCAATATTCAATCTTCTTTTCATTCTGTTTTAGTCTCCAACTCCTGAGAGAAAAAACTGGGTCATTAGCTTATTAGACTGGCCAGCTAACTTTTCTTTGCTTTGGTGTTAACCAGGTAGTTTAGTGTGTGTATTGGAGCTTTTCTTTGTCAGAAAATATTATTTATATTATAATTGATAAAAACGGTGATACATAAATATACAGTACTGTGGAGGTGGGTGTGGTTTGCACTCGGCTGCAGAGGAGAGAGCTGTGGGGAA